TTTTCCCCCCATATGACTACCAAGGTTTTGACATCATTTGTTGAACCCATTCTTTCTCCCCTAATTTAAAAGGACACTTGAGCGTAGTTCAGGTTCACACACATATGTGGGTAGGACAGGGTTTTGCTGCGTTGATCTAGTCATCTCTTCCTATGCTGGTACTGTTCAGCTTATAGTACCTTATTGTACTTTTTTTTTTCATAGCAGGGAAGGCAACTCTACTTCATAAACTTTTTCCCCAAAATGTTTATCAACACACCCACTCTTCCAAATTAACTATGGAATCATTTTGTGAAGTTTCAAAAAAAAAAAAAATCCTGCATTTTATGGAAAACTCAATTAATTTATAGGTTTTTTTGGAGAGAACTGGCATCTTCTCAAAATGCAGGCTGGCTGTGTAAGAACATGGTACTACTTCATTTACGCAAAAGAAAAAACTTTTTGGGAGTCCAGCAGTTAACATTTATAGTTTTCTCCAGGTATTTTTTAAATTTTATTTTATTTATTTTAAAGACATGGGGTACAATTCAGGGTTAGGCATACAAATGTTGATTATGCAGGTACCCTTGTTGATGACGTGTGCCACCCCCAACCCCGCAGTTTCCCTCAACGGCCAGTCTCACCCCCACTCCCCTGGCAGTTTCCCACTGCTGCCAATCCCTTTTTTATAGTATTATGATAGCTGTTCAAGGTCCGCTTATTCCTCCAGGTATTTATTGTCAACTTTATTCCTAGGTACTTTAAGCTTTTGTGGCCAATGTAAGTGAAAAACATTTTTTCTTGTATTCATTTTCTTCATCACATTTTCTAAGAAAAGTTCTGCATCCTACATATGGTGACTTTCCTGCACTCTTGTCCTAACAGTTTTCCTGTTGATTCAATGTAAGGCTTCTAAAAACGAAATCTAATGTGGTCTCTCCAGGTGGTCGCCAGGATCAAGTTTAACCCCATTTTATGGGTCAGCCCTGTCCGACCTTGCCCATAGACACCACTTTCTCCACATTCCTCATCATACCCCGGCAACTTTCAAGCCACCACACTGTCTTCAGGTACCTTGACAGGTCATGCATTTCCATACCTTCACACCTTTGTATATGCTGTTCTCTCTGCTTGGAATTCCCTGCCCCATCTCCCTTTTGCACTTCACCTTCCTTTTAACTTTTTCTTCCAACTTCACGCAAGTGTCACTTTCTTAGGGACGCCTTCCCTGACTTCCTATCCCAGACTGGGCAAGGCACCCCTGGTCTGGGAGCATCCTTCTGCCCGCTCTGCAGTCGCTCTAGCACCCCTAAAATGCTTTTCCTGAAAGTAGCACAGCCTCAATTTTTTTTTTTTTTGAGTTGGAGTCTCACTCTGTCGCCCAGACTGGAGTGCAGTGGCCGCTCCCAGTCACTGCAGCCTCGACCTGCTGGGCTCCAGCGATCCTTCCGCCTCAGCCTTCCGAGTAGCCGGAATTACAGGCATGCGCTCCCACGCCCGGCTGATTTTTTGATTTATTGTAGAGATGAGGTCTCACCAAGTTGTTCAGGCGGGTCTCGAACCCACGGGCTCAGACAATCCACTCACCTCAGCCTCCCAAAGCAGGGGATTACAGGCTGAGCCACAGAGCCCGGCTCATAGGCTCATTTTAAAATGAATACAGGAAAGACCCATGAAAGAGAAATGGTAATTATTCCATTGGCGATTTGTTTTAATATTTCATTAGAGTTGCTTTTTTTGAGTTGGGGTCTCACTCTGTCACCCAGACTGGAATGCAGTGGCACAATGACAGCTCAACACAGACTCAGCCTCCTGGGCTCAGGCGATCCTTCCACCTCAGCCTCCGGAGTAGATGGGAATACAGGTGTGCACCACCATGCCTGACTAATTTTTAAGGAGTTTTTTTTTTTGTAGAGAAGTCTTGCTATGTTGCCTAGGTTGCTCTTGAACTACTCAAGCAATCCTCCTGCCTCAGCCTTCCAAAGTGTTGGGATTACAGGCGTGAGCCATGTGCGGGACCAAGTTGCCTTTTGTGGCAAAAAAAAAAAGAGAGCCGGGCTCAGTGGCTC